CCATCAACCAGAAGCGCTGCCCCTGGTTGTCCCAGGTTCTGAGAGGCCATGATCAGACCCCCTGCAGTGTCCCTGCCTGGAAAAAGCCTTCCCCAATCCTGAGCTTCCTTCTCCTCCCAGCCCCAAGAGTGCTCTAGCCGTCTTGTGTCCATTCAAGCTCCCAAGGCTCCTCTGTGCCTGCCCCTCCCTGGCTAGCTCAGCCTTGGTGACCCTCAGGCTATGGTGCAATGACAGGAGTACCCCTACCTGTCTGCCCTCACTGAGTCCCTGAACTGAAGCTGGCTGGCCCAGATGACCCCACTGGGTCCAGAAGGCAGCACTAACATGGTCGTGCCCAGCCAGGGCACCCTGGGAGCAGCGGAGACAGGGGCTCGGCGTGAGGCAGACGCTGACCCAAGGAAGACTTCAGCACCAACGCTCAGTAGTCGTGTGACCTTGGTTAAGTCATACCACCTCGCTGATCCCTGGTGGCATAGTGGTTACTCATTGGGCTGCTAACAGCAAGGTCGGCAGTTCGAAACCACTAGCTGCTTCACAGGAGACAGGCAAGGCTTTCTACTCTTGTAAAGAGTTCGTCTCGGGACCTCACGGGGGTAGTTCTGCCTTGTCCTGCATGGTTGCTGGGAGCCAGCATGGACTTGACGGTAGGGAGTTTATGTGAAAAGCAGAAATTGGCTGCTGATGCTGGGATCCTGTTAGCCTACTGGGTCGCAGTGGGTTTGAGTTGGGCAAGGGGCCAAAGGCCAGGACCCTGGGACAAGCTGGTCATTCACCTTCTGCAGGGAGACCAACCCCCAACCCCCGCTGACTCCTCTGCACTGTAATGTCCATTTTGTGGATGAGAAAGACTGATATCCTGGAGCTTGTTGATGTCAAACCTATGGCTCTGTGGATGACATCAGGTACCACCCTGCCCCTTCCCCCATGGGATCCACTGGTGCCCAGGTCACCCAGGCAGCAGGCTAGGGATCTGGAAGGGAGGGACCAGCTGCTGAGCAGGCAGTATAGGAACTCAGGGCTGGGAGAGACCCCCCTAACAACTGAGGGGCAGGTGCATTGCGCTGGGGGACCCTGGATAAGTCCCTTCTCCGAGGAAGCCTCCAGTGGTGGTCTCAATCCACTGCCGACTGGGCTATCCTATAGGACAGAGTAGAATGCCCCCCACACACACACCGTTTCTGGGACCGTAACTGTTCATGAGAGTAGAAAGCCCAGTCTTTCACCGGAGAAGAGAAGCAGGCTGCTGGTTTGGATCACAGCCATGAAGAGGCTGCTCCCAGGGGTCTAACTCAGTGATGGGAGGGGTCCCCTCTACAGCTATAGAAAGTACCCAAAACTGCCCTCTCCGTACTCCCCGCTACCCAGCTCGAGTGTCACAGGTACCTGGGGGGCATCCTGGGAAGCATTTTTTTGGGGGGGAGAGCTGGGGCTGAGCCAGGTCCGTTGGGTGGGTGTCTGTTCCTTTGGGTGGTATAGGTGAGGCAAGTGTTAAATCTTGGGGAGACAATGCCTGTGACCCCTGTGGGCCAGGCCACCAGCCCTCTCCTGGCTCCCTGCAGGTCATTGGGTGTCTCTGGGGCTGTTTTCAGGTAGGGTGGGGTGGGATTGGATGAGTTGCCTCCACTCTGGTGGGGGGACCCTACAGAAAGTAGGGAAGCCAGAGAGGAGGGCATGTCCCCAAGGGTCTGCAGTGGGACAGGCACGAACGGAGTACAGGACACCTGCCGCTTGGTCAAGGGCAACTCAACTGTGTGCCCTGGGCCACCCCACCCCACGGCGGGTTTAGTACCAGTCTCTGCCAGTTCCAGCCTGGCCTCCCTGCCCCCTCCCTCCCTCGCTGGCTGGCTCCCTCCCTGCGCTCTGTGCTGCCCTCGCACCAACGCTGGGTCCTTGGCCCTGACCCAACCTTTCCTCGCAGACCTCCCTTCTCACGTGCACCTGGCTGTGGGTCCCGACTTGGTGCCTCTGCTCGCCCCCGGGTACCCCACCCGTGCGCCCCGTCAGAGTCGCTCAGTTGCTGCCGGTCGCTCCGCCTCGCCCCGTCCCAGGGCTCCCAGTGGCCCACGTTTGGGGAGCGAGTGGGAACATTTTCGCGGGAAGGAGTCGGACTGATCCCGGGGGCTGAAATTGACCCGGCCAGCCACACCGCCCGCGCCGCGCCGTGCCCGCG